TTGAACTGTAAGTTACTTGAGTTGTCTTAGAGYGGATTTCGTATGAGTGGGACACCGTTACCGCACGGTTACCGCRCAGTTACCGGACCTGGCCTTCACAATTTTGGTGAACCAATGAGGGACTAGAATTTGGTTACAGTGCGATTACGGTCACAGTACAGTACCRTCCGTTTCCCACTCATACGAAATCCGCTCTATGACAAATTTCAGCAAAGTTTCCTGATAAGGGTAACACGTCGATACGTAGGGTACCTATGCCATTCTACTTAGAGCCGAGAAGAGATGCAAAATTTACACGGCAAAAGCGATGCCTGCAGCCGAATTTCACCTGCAGTCACAGCGATGAGATACAACTAAACTATTTTTTTGAAAWTATCGATAGCTTTCTTCGGCACAGTTATTAATAGCAAGAAATTACCTTGAATATCTCCGTGATTGGCATCCCAGCATACAACAGCTCTGCTCCTCTCTCGTCACAAATACTTGACATGAAAGACGACGGCTTACGAATCAAACCAAGCTCCTGTAAGTGAGATTAAACGTTTATATCATGTAAACAAAGTACACAACCAACAACAAGCAAGCAACAACGACAATACTAAAAATCAGTTGCCAATTTGTGCTGTCATTCCTAATCATAGTGCTCCAGGAAGAAGGCGTTGCAGTAACACATGTTGAGTTACCTGAGCCCACGTATAATCCATAGGTACTGTGGGAGGTTTCTTCTCAGGAGCAGGGACAATGGTGCCATCTTTAACCAAGCCTTGATAGACAGAACTGCAAGATGTGGAACATTGTTTTATTGTCTAATGGGTTAATCAAGACTATTTCCTCTTGCATGTATTCTCTCAAGGGAATGTAAGAAGTATGTTTATAATATGAAAGTATAAAATAAAATATATCTCTAGTACTCGCGGGTATGGAACTCGTTACACTTCTCTCTTCTTCTGTTTCAGAACATCTACAGGCATTTTATTTCACTGATAAAAGCCRGACCAGTCATCCTTTATCTCTTAACAGGAGAACAGGTTTTAAAATATGAYCCTCGTCAGTACTTACCGTATRATTTCAAACAGCGAGTCAAAGCTATCGGGAACATGTGCTCCGGCTTCTTTTAGCGCCTAAAAAAATAAAATAAAATRAAAGGTTTTCCCTTTGGGGCAACAGAAGTTATGTTGTTTTACAATACCTTATTTTTGGCAACTGCTGTTTCTTGGTCACTGTGTGCACTGGCCCCAGCATGGCCAAACTGAACCTACATAAATCAGTGAAAAGATAAATGGATGAATAAGAGGAAGTTGGATGGACAATAGGATGAATGTACGATAAATAAGCGGGGAAATGAGAGTAAATGAACAAGATAGCAGAATGCAGAATGCATAAATGAAAGGTAAATGGTGAAGAAATGAGCTGACTTCAATGAATGGATAAACTAATTCTCTGACTAGCCCGACTTTACGCTTTCAGAGCGTCTGGTTAAAGCTAAATGCGACTTTTCGAATGTTGACTTAAATAAACCAATAGTATACAATTAAGTCTAGTCTTTCCCAGAGTGTTTAGTGCCTCTTTTTGTTTAAAATGAATGAGATTTAATTATTTACCTCAGATGTGAACTGATTTGCGCATGTCCCTATGCACCAAGCAACCAATGGTTTTGTAATCCGTCCACTTTTTATCTCTTCGCAGATTTCGTATTCATCTCGGCCGCCAACCTAACACAACCACAGAAACGTTACAATAAAACGGCCATAATCATTGTTATTATAAAATAATGATGTACCTCTCCAAGAAGAACAATCATTTTGATGGCTGGGTTGTCTTGGTAACGAAGGACGTGATTTATGAATCTTGTACCKGGATACCTGTGGAATAATTTATGCTGAATGAAATGACGCAAGGAAGAATACTTCTCATGCGGTGGCGGCGTATTATAAATTGCTATCAAACGCGCAAAAATATCTTAATAAACTTTTATGATTAGAGCAAAATCAAATTCATGATAATTAGCAATTCCAAAACAGGTTATTATAATTTCATAAGGATTTCTATTGTGTGTGATATTTCTGTGTGCAAATGGTTTGCAGGAAAAACAGGAAGAAAAAAAGCAAAAAAAAATTCCATTGCTTTAAGCATTCATACTTTCCGAAGAAATCTAATTGAAATAATTTACTGCTCATTTTATTTCCCAAGTAAAKTTTTGTGCTTTGTCAGTCTGGATGAGTTCAAATTCGTAGTTRCTTGGGAACTCATCCTCAGACGTCATGGCCTCGAAATGGTTAATGAACTAATCGTTACCTGTCTCCTCCAATAGCCACACCCTCATAAACCCCATCAGTGGTTCTTGATATGATGTTGTTSAGTTCATTTGACATTCCTCCAGATCGAGATACATAGGCAACACTATAAATCAATGTAATCAATGGATTATTAGTTAACAAACTGATACTATTTAGGGAATTTGGTAAAACCGCTCATGACTCAAACAATTTTCATTTAACCATTCATGTATTTAATGAATCCGGATTTTTTTGAAAACGAGGGTCGTTTATAARAATATGAGGTTTCGAAAGTTTCGATTATATCCCGATACATGTGAACGAGTAGTATCTTATTTCGGTTTGCTCATGAAATTATRATTTCAATACGTGTGCTCGCACACTGATGAAATTWCCAATTCCGTCAGCCATTGTTCCACTCGTATTTCATTTTGTTCCTATTCAACATCTCAATTATTTATTTCTTAATTCATTTGTTTTTTAATGACATTCTTATGTTTACTCATAATTAGCTCATCAGTTCTGTTATTTCTTCAAGTCATACCTTCCTGGACGGTAAAGTTTAGAAGCCAATATGTTRTCTAACATCCCTCCTGTGTTACCAATTTTAAAACAACCTGGTTTAATTCCTCCAACCTAATACAACCAGACTCATTAGTGTGCTTGACACTTTTACTTAATACGACAACAAATGATCAATCAACGTGCAATGTTGATTTTACAGACCGTCGCTGGTCCAATGATCATTATATCCTTCTCTATAGCTCTCTTATTAAGAATTCTTGTCTTGGCCTCTGGAATTCCTTCCGCGATGATTGCAATTGTACGAATCTAAYAACAACAAAAAGTATGACAAACGGGCTTACAAACAAATAAAACAAAACAAATAAAACCACACAAGTAAATAGTCCCCTTCTCAGGCTCCTCCTTGTGTTGGAAAGGAAGTCCGACAAAAGGGAAGGCTGCGAATAGGACTAACAAGTAAATGAGCAAATGTAAAAAAAATCAACATCCAACAAAACAGTACATCAGGACTTGCGAGTTTCTATTTAAGGCTAAAGATGGCCTGTGTAATTTCTCAGTCCCCAAAAAATCTGTCAGAGCATCTAGAAACGCCTGGCTACACAGGCTAGGCTAAAGAAGGAAAGCTTCTATGTATTCTGACCTGTGGGAAAGACATGGCTTCCATGGTTGAATCATAAGCAGATCGAAGTGATGCAAAGTTGATCATGACATCAGCATCAGGGTGTTTRTTCATTGCTTCACTCATTTCCTTGTACACTTAAAGCAAACAAAAAATACTATTAATAACCATAATAACACCAACAAACCAGCCAAATACATCTACAAAATACCAACCAACCTATAAACCAAAAATCGTAACTACCCACTATGGAAAATAAACCAATACTCCATCAGCAAAAATATCAACCCATCAATTACCCAACAAACCTACCAACCTACCTACCAACTCATCCACCAACAATAATCAATCCACCATACAAAAACACCTTGAACAACCAGCCATCACCATTCATAACACCAACAAACCAGTCCAACACTATACCACATACTAACCCAATCACCCAACCCCATTTTACCAACCAACAAACACACATGACCTGACCAGGAAAATATCATTTTATGAAAGCAACAGTAAGCAAAAATTGATGGCAGACTCTTTTTACCTGGAATCATGATTTCTTTATGTCCGTAGTAAAACTTCTGTTTGTGGTTACCACTGACAACAAAGTAGAATTATAAGTGCAACATGTTAGATTCAAACCATCTTCATGTTCTATAAATTCACTGCAGAGAGGGTTTGTTACTGTAAGTTGTCTAGGACGTCCTCACATAGTGCTTGTTTGCTTATGCTCTGTGTGCATGGTAATTTGCCGTCATCTTACCTAAATGGATACACCATTGCAGCCACTGAGGGGTACTTTCTTTCACATACATAATCAAAGTCYAGCATACCCTGTGGATGATGAATGTGAGCAAAATGTTATCAGTATTCCAGTATTCTCAGTGTCAGGAAAATGAAGATTTTTAGGACATCTTTTTGAAAGTATACAGTACTGTATTTGTTTCAATAGGCATTTGCAGTTAGTCAGCTCAAAAATAAACTCCCAGTGGTGATTGAGAAATGTGATTTATTTTTTAGTGAGATTTGTAATCATTCTAGGYTTGTTGCATGAGTGCTTGTTTATTGATAAAACGTTTCCTTTCCACTTAGTGATTATATGTATTTAAAACAAGATCAACTGCAACCAAGAAAGAGACAGCATCTTCCCCCTTATTGCAGTGGCTACACAATTATTATATTGAAATATTTCTCTTTGCATAAGGTAATCCTAATGACAATTTTCTTATAAAGGAAACCACATACTTGGACAGCTCTTGACTGCATCCCCCAAATGATTGCACGAGTTCTGCTGTGGAAAATTTGATGTTTGCTACTATTTGAGGGTTTTGTTAATGATGGTTGAGAAGCATCAGACAGACTCAGTGTTCTAGACTGCTTTACACTTGGAGATGCCTGAAATATTAACAGACAAGGATAAAAATAATTAAATCAATAATAGCTGCTATTGTACTATATAGCAGTAAATAGCTTCTCTTACAAAATAAACAATATCATCTTTAGCCTTCAGCTCATACTTCAGTCAATTACGTATTGCATTCTTCATTCATTATTGTAAAAAAGTCAAATAAGGAGGCAATAAATAGAGTAAGCAAGGGTGGCAGAGCGGTGAGAGCGCTASCCTGTCACCTCTGTGGACCCTGTTAGAATCTCAGTCAGGGCGATATATGTGATTTGAGTTTCTTTCGTTCTCTCCCTTGCTTCAAGGGTTTTCCCGGGTCTTTTCTGATTTTTCCTCCCTCAGTAAAAACAAACCATTTCTATATTCTGTTCCGCAATCAGTTAACATTGCTATGTTAAGGAAGCACCTAGCCAGCAGCATGCCTATGTGTAAGTGTAAGTGTATGTTAAATGTGTCTGTAATATAATCTATTTTAGTTAGTTTTAGTTACTTACCACATTGTTTTGTGCATTGAAAAACATGTTTGCTGCATCATTTGAATCATATGCACTTGCTTGTGGGATTTCTCTCTTGCCTAAMGCCATCCCTACAACAGCTGTCATATGGGTCTCTGTRCCAAACACATGCATGTCCAGGTTTAGGTGTGMACCTGSAACAAACAAACAAAATGAAGTTTCCTATCATTTCTATCAACCCCAATAAATGTGTCAAATAATTATTTCATTKTAGAGTTGTGTATTGACWACAAAACCTACCAACTTCTCTCATAACTCTTAGTCCTTCTTGATAGTTTGGTCCACCTCTTCTGACAAAGATTTGAACTTTGTGTTCATGCAGCTTCTTCTGGAAGTTTTCAAGTGCACGAACAATGCCCTGAATAAGAACAAATCAAACAAATTTTACCATCAGTTGCCTCACAGTATCCTGCAGTGATACTGTCCAGATACAAGTGTAAGAATCAAAAACACACCTCCATTATAATAGAACTTGCTAATTATGATATCATTTGCATATTTCAAAGGTTTTTTTCTGACCTTGAATGTTGCTGAGACATTTGTAAAATTTGCTATTCCTCCTCCTATGATGAGAATTTTTCCTGAAAAAAAAACAAAAACATCAGAGATCTTTTTTACAACTATTGACATGTATACAAGAGAAGGTTTGTCATACATTTGGAAAGGCCATAGAAAACATTCCAACTATCCTTAGAAATCCCATGATTTACCTTCAGGACGTGGTTCGYCTTCTGTCATTAGTTTCAACAGTGTCTTTGCATACTCAAATGTTTGTGATTCTGATGGGGCACCAGAGTATTCACCATAATTTGCCAGCTCAGTTGCACCYCCCAAGTCACAGATAGTATCACTATATGAAAAATAGAGGATTAACTTCTCTTTCACACCACAAATGTCAGTATATTAGGCTGCTATGGATAATATATTATATTCAACAACAAGCAGACGTAAACTCAAAATATTTTCAGAGCTCATCCATGAAATGACGAATATTAACAATAATCTCGTTCACATTTCCATGCACCATATTGGAAGGTATCAGAAACTTTTCTACACCTAGACAAGAGACAATGATTATTGTATCCATTACTGCACGCTAAGTGGTCGTCTTGCTTAATACAAAGGTAAGGCTAACTTTCAACATGATGCTGGGAACCATGAAGAAGACTAAACTGTTCCATGATTTGCTCTATCTAAAAAAACCCTTATAATAAAAGGTATGTGGAACAGACCTGTAAATAACTGAGGCACCTCCACCTGCTACCATGGTCCAAATTCTTCCTTTTCTATTGAGAATTGTAAGTTTTAGAGAAGCTCCACTTTTGGCATCAAGTTCAGCAATATAAGCCTCCTGCAGAGACACAAAATAGCAGTTGAACAACAATTCTAAGTAATTCTATTGTGATAAGAGAAATATTGAGTAATGTTTCTGCTGTTATACATGTAATAAAAACACAATTATCATAGGAATGAACACTGGTCAAGAAGAAAGAAGGGTCAGCCAAATGAATATGAATCTGAACTTGTGGCAAGTGATTTGCAACACTACAGGGTCTGTTGAATTGGGTGTGCTGAGAAAGCTATTAGATGCTAATAAATAAATGATATAATAATATTAAATAAATAAATGTACAATTTTATACACATTGGATAGAGTCCCAAAGATCCTGTATATAAACACATGTAAGTTTATTCTAGTAGGTATAATAAATATTTTTTAATCATTTTATACCTCAGGGTAGGCATCCCTTCCGAACGGTGGTGGAAACTCAATATCACCCCATTTTGACTTGCAAATATATTCTGCTGTTTGGTCCAACTTTGCAGCCAAATCAAGAGCATAAACCTTTTCCTCTACCATCACTGAAAGAAAAAATAAACAAAAACATGCAATATTCATTGCTATTAGTCTAATTAGGGTTGTTAAAATAGGTCACATGATATTATTACCTAGGGGGTTTATTTCCATGTATGTGAAATACAAATTGGTAAAGAGGGAGTACAGGGAATTCACAAATTCTGACAGAGGCCTGAAAAAGAGAAAACAAACATGTCAATATTTCACATGATAAAATTTTTGATATATAACGCTCACTTTGATTGGCTGACGACCGTATTTATATCAGAGGACAGAGACATGGCTTACCGACAAAATTTGTTTTTCATTCAAAAAATGCAGAAAAAAAAAACAAAAACAAGAGCATAGCCAACTCAACACTTTTGGGATATCAAATTAAATAGCAAATAATTATATGATATATAAATATTATATAAATACATTTACAATACAAATACAACAAAGAAGAAAATATAAATCATGGTCCTAGGATTGATAATGGTAAGGAAAGATGTCTGTATAAACTCACTTCCTTTGTTTTTCTGGGACATTAGCCATTAGAGATTTTTCAATCCACACAGCAGTTACTTTTTCTTCTAATCCTACGTCTAATTTCACAGCCTGCAGATGAACAAAGTCAATGGTAGAAATACCATCAAGATGAGTTGGTAGTACTAGTCTGGCAGTAGAGTTAAAATAGCTTATTACTTAAAATGAATTCCCTAGAAATGGAACTTTTATTAATGCAAGAAAAACCAATACAATAGACAAACCTTAGAATCAACATCACCAATRTCAACTCCTCCTTCATGGTGAAAAAGAATGGTATCACAGTTTCGTTGAGCATATATGCACACATAGTACTCCTCAGACTGAAATATGAAATATCATTATTATCAATAATTATTTTATGATCTATTGCTTTATTTATTCATTCTTCTATACACTGTTCCACCTATATGGTGCATTTCTCGTATTCACATCCTTATCAGTTTCCCAAATGAAAATCAAAGGTTCTGGTTGGAGATAAAAAACTCTTKAAATGATTGATTTCAAAAAGTCCTGGGATGTGTCATCAGAATGCATATTAATCAGAATGCAACCCAATATTTCTAGTGTTGTCTCCAACCAGAGCCCTTTCGGGACCTGGGGATGAGAATACCACCTTATGATCCATCCATCCATTATTTTTGCATTTTGTCTCTTTATATATCAGTGTATCATTTTATTATTATCATCATCATCATCACTATTATTACCTGTTTATGAGGTACAAATGGCTCAATTATGAATCTTTTCAGATGTCCACTCGATGATCCAACCTAACCATACAATCAACATGATCAATAATAATAAATAATCCTTTACTCCTCCATAAATCAATCTTAAATTTATTTAAAAATTACAACATCCCATAATACATAAAGTGTTACATATTTCATGATGATTTGGAACACACCTCAATGTTCTTTCCCATTCTTTCATCTATCCATTTCCTAGCTTCATCAATCCCAACATTCACTTTTATCAAGCCAAGCTTGCCACGTCTCTTGATTAGTTGGTCTGGTTTTACTGCTAACTTCTAATGAAGAGATTATAGTGACATTATCAGAACTGAAATCAAATTACTGGAAAACAGACTTGAATGGTATAAATAATGTTAAAAATTTGGCATGCTGTCAAATGGTCGCAACAATGAGTTTTCGTTTAGATACTTGGTTTTCCCTCTTATTTTACTCAACATAGAGAAGTTCAGTCAGTGTAAAAGTATCAAACAGAAATATTGATMATCAGACACTATTATGAGCAGACAACGGGTTAGCTTAGTTGCTATAGAACAGAATAATTGTGCAAAGGGTTAGGGGTTCTATCCAAGGTTTCTGATTTTGTTTAGAACTACATCTCCAAATGGAATCATCAGAATTGGATAAGGATCCAAATTGAAGGTCCCATACTGCTTTGGGGGATGCAGCACACCTCCGTGGCTGCGAACACTGCAGATATATAGCAACAGTTATTCTATATTGCTTTTACATTTTGATTGCATAGTTTGGTGTCATGTTACAGTCTGGCCAGATTGTCTGGAATGTATTAAATTACACYAAATCACTGCTGGCATTTGTATTCTGTCAAARATGAAACCCTRTTGMCTATTCTWAAAATTCCARTACAGGTGGAAATAGGCTCAAATCTATGTGYAAATTGATTGTTTTATCTATTGTTCTCTACTATCCAAGGAACAAGGCTATTCCAGCCTCTACTGTGCCGTGCAACTGGTGTAGGAGACCTAAATAAGCACAACTGTAATATTTTGCATAAAATTAACGATGCAGTTATATTTTTCATCAAATTTTGAACGGTGTTCACTGATTTACAACATTCGGATCTCGTTACAAAATATTATTTCCAATATTTGAGGAGTCTCGTCATCCATCCACTAATGTATTTGTGACAGATGAAAAATGTGGAAAATGATGAACAAAGCTCAAATTCTACAGTTTTATA